ATCTTGAGTGGCTAAACCAGTAAAGGCCTAAAGTCAGAGCACAGGCTGAGCACTACTGTCCTCAGACCACTGGTCTCAGTCTGTCCCAAGTCACTAACTAACTGGAACCTGCATTCCTGAACAGCTGGTGGAGCTCTAGCAGGGTCTGGAGGGATGGAAGTCGTCCAGGGTTTCCCCAGCCTGTGGCACACCAGCACTTACAGGGCTGGAAGAGAAAGCTGCAGGAGGCTTCTGACTGATGGCTGCACTGCTGATGGTGCCATGGGACTTGCAGACTTTTGACTGTATTTATAAAAACTATATTGTGCTGAGTTATTCAGCAATTCAGGTTCAAGTTCATTTGTCATTATACTTATACACAAGTATATGTTATAACGAAATGCTATTTAGCTAGCTCTCAGATGGTAAATAGTACAAAAAACAACAATACAATTGTGTAAGAAAAAGACGGAGACAACAGGCAATGTGCAAAACAGCAACAGTTGTGCAAAATCATACGTCAACAGAATGAAATAAAGGAAACAAAATTATGGGGAGTGAACGTCTTGACGTGAGGTAGATGTAGATTTCAACGTGCGTTTCAGTTTTGATAAAGAGAGAAGGCACTGTGAGGGTTCAGACTGTAGGTCTGAGAGGAGAAGTCTGGAGAGGCTGGGAGTTTAATAGTGCGGGGGTAAAAACGGTCTCCGAGTCTGGTAGTCCAGCCCTGAAAGCTCTGGTGCCGTTTTCCAGATGATAGAGGGTCAAACAGTCTAGCTGAGGTGCGTGCTCAAAAAGCTGAGAACTTTCCTGTCATAAATGTCCAGGATGGATGGGAGAGCAACCCCATTGATGGACTGGGAAGTTTTCACCACCCGCTGTAGGGCTTTGTCAGCAATACTGCAGTTGCCATACCACACTGTGACGCAACCTGTCAGTGTGCTTTCTGTAGTGCATCTGTAAAAGTTAGTGAGAATCTTACTCTTCTTCAACTTTCTTGGGAAGTACAGGCACTGTTGCGCTTTCTTAATCAGACAAGTGGGGTTGAGAGACCATGTGAGGTCCTTGGTGACATGAACGCCAAGGAATTTGAAGTTACTGACCCTTTCCACTTCAGTCCCGTTGATGTGGATAGGGGCATGACCGTTTTGCAGTTTTCTGACATCAATGATCAGATCCTTGGTTTTGCCGACGTTGAGGGGAAAGGTTGTTGTCTTCACACCATGTTGTAAGGAGTTTGACTCCAATTATGGCTCCCTTGACTTATGCTTTGTCATGGAGGTGACATGACTGACCTTGTAGTGTGGCTGAGGCCCAGCGACTTCTTTCTCAATGATGGGGATGTCGATCACACCCTCCGAGGGTACTGGAACCCCAACACTCAGCACCCTGGAATCACACAACAGCCACTGGGATCAGCCTTGATCAGGACCACGTATACAACATGTCACAGTCCTCGGTGACCCTTGACCCCTCCCGTTTGTCACGGCGCCTTGGTGACCCTTGACCTGAACACAGGACAGCTTCACTTACCAGTACTTCTTCTCCACCTGGTGGGTTTTGAAGAGCTGGTGAATATGGTCGGCCGCCTCCTCGCTCTTGCCCAGCAGCATCACCCCGGTTGTGTCCTTGTCTAAACGGTGGCACAGATGCAGAGGTCCTGCCTTCATGCCACCAATCATCTTGGCGAGGACGGGCAGCACGTCTGCGATGCTGTTTTTCACTCCTGGTCCACCTGGGGGTGCATTAATCACATTGTAAGCAGCAAGAACCCCCTCCCACTCGCCAACTACTGGCCAACCTGGAGCTCCACGCACCCATCCACTGGCCAACCTGGAGCTCCACGCACCCACCCTCTCGCCAACCTGGAGCTGCAGCTACCACCCACCCACCCACCCGCTCGCTCGCTCAACTGCATCAGTCATCTGCGAGAAGCAATCATACACTTCCCCCAAGCAACCTGTGCTCCTTGTACAGTTCCCCGGTCCCAGGAGTGTCCCGAGCTGGGGCGCAGGAGAAAGACGCACCATGCACTGGGACCCCGTAGGGCTTGTTGATGGCGACCAGCTGCTCGTTCGCCAACAGCATGCCCCTCTTCAGATCCTTGGCCAGCACGTTGGGATGGACCCTCTGGAGCTGCTGGCTGAACTGGTGGAGCTCTCGGACTCGCCGCAGAACCGGAGACGAGGGTCCCTGCGCAGAGTAGGACACACACACACACACACATACCATGAAGCCCTTCTGCAGAGGAAGACAGTGCTACACTGACAACAGCAGCACTGCTGTTAAATCCCATCAGCCCCGATCTGGAAAGGCTTTGAAACAACTCCACCTGTGTGTCTCTTTCTGTCTCTCCTCAAGTGTTTCAATCAGACTCAGTTTTCTAACCGCTTCATCCAATTCAGAATCACAAGGCAGGGTACACCCAGCCCAGAACCAGGGCACCAGCAATTCAAATTGGGCTCCCAGATCCACAAATCAAAAGGAAGGAACTGGGTGTCTTTAGTCTGGAAAAGATATTAAGGGGGGAACTGATTTCAATGTTCAACAATCTTCAAAGTTATTGTCAAGGATACAGACAGGAGGCCTTGAGTGGTACCGACAGCTGTGGAGATGGCTGGAACAAACTGACTTACCAGGTGATTAAAATTAGGACGCTGGGGCCCTTTGAGAAACTGTGGGATTATATCATAGGATGAACGACTGAGCTCCAACGAATCAAAATGTCAGTTTTTGAGTTTGATCAGTTCATCGCCTTCTTTATTGCATTGAAAACTGGCTTCGGGGATAACAACAAGCACCGCGACCCCGCAGCGCGACTGTAGCCGCCTTAAGGATTTAAATCAGGTGAAGACAGCAGGCCGGTAAAGGTTTTACCGCCCTCTAGTGGCTCCCTGAGCTGAACACCCTCCCTGGCTGTCAGTGCTCTGAAGCAGGACAGGTTTCACCCTCTGTACGACAGTGTTGTCCCGACTGTAATGGCAGCTTCTCTCCGTCAGCGAGAAGACCGAGAGAAAACTGAAACAGAGTCAGATGTCAGCTTGCAAAACTGATGTGCCGATGCTCAATTACATTTTACTTTTAGTCACGACAGAAAAGACCAGCAGTCTACAGGTGTATTAGAAGCAATGCTTAAATTTTGTATCGTGATCTTACGAAGAATCCTTAATATCCATTTGCGAGACGATCTTAAGAAAAACCATTTGAGGATTTAGCATTGCCATCGGAGGCTGAGGCGTGCCATAGCTGCGAACACACAGTGCTCGTATCTCAGTGTGATAAATCCCTGCGCTCTTTCACAGTCCCCCCGACCCCAGTCCTTCGGTTCAGATGGAAAACCCAGTCCCGGTGGAAGTAACTCTGCAGGAGCGGTTACTGACGCCAGTAAAGTGAGCGGATACGGTATACCGCGACTTGATTCACTGAGGCGTTCGCTAAATTAACCATTATAAAGAAAGGGCCAGCGCCTTTGAGCTTTATATCCATACCTCGGTTTTCGTTTCCCTTGGCTGTTTCTTTTCTTGGCGAATTTTCTCGGCCAGGTCGCTGGCTTTCAGCTTCGGGGAATCCGTGTTTTCCCTCCCGACGACGGTCTTCAGTCCCCTTTTCTGCCCGGTCGCAGCGCTGTGTGGCCGGAGAGTCCGGGCGACCACAGCCGCTAGGACACAAATTGACCGGGCTTCCCCTAAATTCGCGCACATGACTCCATGTCGCCTTATCAGGCGGTCAAGACAGCGAGCTACATACATTCTGGGTAGATTGTGAGTTGACAAACTTGTAAAAGCCCCGGACTTAGAAAAACCATACATTCCACGCTCGTCTGCTCATGGGCGCCGTCATTTTCCTAACCTTTCACCTCTACAACCATTGGCCAGCCATTTGAATCAACTTTATTACTCATGGAACACACGAGGCCTATTTTAAAGAAGGAGGATTACTTTATTGAAGGTTTTCTCAAAATAGTCGAATTGAATTAACTCGACAACTGACTTCAGAATTACTCCAGTTCCACGAAAGTACGCTCTGGTTTCGCGTATCCGGTTAAAGTGATTCAGGCTTTGAAAATCCGACCAGCTGCGCGTTCATGCCGCTCTCCACTAGGCAGGAGGGTCGAGCACCGATTCCTTCACCCGCACCAGCAAAACCCCGGCGAAAGTACGCGCAACTTAATCCAGTGAATATGAATTACAGCCCTTTATGGGAAAACTATGAGGATAAAGTATTTTTATAAATTTATTTTAAAAATAAAGATCGGTTGTACTAGCGAGGCGCCATTACAAGACAGATAAGACGCTTGGCAGATACATTGACCTATAAATTGAAATGTGGAAGTTAATTATGAAATCCAATAAAATAGCTCAAGATATAACACAACAATAAAAACTTCTCGAGCACGCATGAATTGGTATTACCCATTTGATAACACAGGAAACATTGTGGTGATGGAAACGTAACATTATTAACACCTAAGTCTAGGTAAGAGCCATTGTAGACACACACGTTTAAAAACTTCATTTAATTGGAATTATTGATATTTTTGTGGAATTTTGTGTAATCCATGTTTATATTTCGTCTGGGCTTGTACTTTTTTTTACCTTTACATTAATGCTGTGAATTGAATTTCTGTTCAAATCAGCCTCGTTTAGCCCTGTTGTGGCTTACATGAGGACGTCTGTGGAGTGCAGAGAACCTGTGATACTAGGAAAAGCTGTATGAAATATTTAGATCGCAGTATCTAGTTACTAGGAAGAGAAGCTACATTTACGGGATAGAATTATATAAGAGAATTGTAGCTGTTATTTCATATACAACCTATATGTATAATAATAAAATTGGTATACCTATATGAACAGATTTAGTCGGGAAGCGTGATGAATGCACGCAAAAACTGCTTTTGTGCGAACACCACTTTCCCTATTGCACATCACTGCTTTAGTGATGCAGGTTGTAAACACAGTAAAAAAAAACTGCACCAGTCACAAGGGGCCAGTTTATTTTAACGCTTAGCTATGAAGAGAAATATTAACAATGTATGCAACAATGTACAATTTACTAAAGTTACTGGCTGACTGAGTAATCTCTCTGAAACAGCCCCGTTATCTTTTCCCTAGAGCCTTTCAGCACTTTAACAAGCTACTGTTGTAAATTACGTTTCAAAAAGGTAACTGTTACAATGTCTTTCTGTATCAGATTTAATTATGTAGTCTCAAGAATTCTGTTTTTTATTCTTGTGACATAATCGACTTTAGTGTTGCAGGAGAGCTTGAGAACACACACACATTGATACCAGAGCTAATTAACCTACCAGTATATCTTTGGACTGTGGGAGGAAGCCCACACAAACACAGAGGGGACATGCAAACTCCACACAGACAGCATCCCAGGAATCGAACCCAGGGCTCCATCGCTGCGAGGCAGCAATGCTCACCACTGCATCACTGTGCTGCTTGTCTCTAAACACCATTTCTTCCATACTCACAGATAACAATAGATAAAATCAAATTACTGCTGCCAATCCTGTCTCTCCTGCAGTCAACAGGTCTGTTGTCATTAATATCTGACACCCCAAGGGAAACAGTGTTATGGATGGTTTAGTGTTAGTTACTCTTATTGCATTATACAGACAAGGCACTGTGCATTTCAGCAGGATAGAATTACCTTGAGTTGAGTATAATACCCATGTCTAGGATATTAAATTCCCGGGAACACAAGGGGCTGGGAGAGACTGATGTACACAGACACAATATGTGACCTGAATTCCGTGCTGGGGTGCGAGTGTCACATGGCCTGGAATGGCAGCTCCCAGGATCTCAGTAACTTGACCTCACAGTAGCTTTCCCTCGTTAACAGCGACTGGGGGCTGACACAGCGTCAGTTCCCAGGCTTGACCCCCCCGAGCTGGGAAACACCTAACAGCAAGGGTCTCTCCTCTCTCTGGAGCAGAATGTGGGGGTGTCTGATGTCTGGTGGTTTGGACAACTTCGTTCCAACTCAGGATCTTAAACCACAGGTCCGCAAGATGCTCGTCCTGTTGAAGAGGGAAGTGTCAATGGGAGCTGCTCCTCCTGATCTGCGCAGTCATCAACTAATGGACAAGTGGGCAATTAAGAATTTGCAGAGGCACAATGCCAAATAAATACAGTTTGACAAAGAATCTTCAAGACTTATAAACAAGGAATCATGTCAGATACAGTATAGGCGTTTAGAAGAGATAAGAACGGTTACAGATGAGAGGTCATTTTGCCCACTGGGCTTGTTTGATAGTCAGTAGTTCTTTGATCCTGGATCTCATCCAACCAATTCGTGGGAGATGTCAGGGCATCAGCTTCACAACGCGGCTGGGCAGTTTCATCCTCACTCCCACCACCCTCTGTGTAACATAGTGCCTCCTGTTCTTGCTGTTCAGTGCTTTTTCACAAAGTTTTCACTTGTTCAATAAGAAGAACTTTACTGGGTTGACCTTGTTGTTGTCTTTAAGGATTTTGAATACTCGTACCTGGTCTCCTCGTAGCCTTCTCCTTTCAAGCCAAGAGAGACTCAGTTTCTTCAGCCTGACCATGGAGAACACTCCCTTAATCCCAGGAAAGCATCAATTAGCTCCTATCTGGACTGACTCCAGAGCAGCAGTGTGTTTGCTATAACATGGTGACCAAAACTGGCCACAGTATTCTAATGGAGGCCTTGCTTGTGCATTATACTGTACCATTTTAACACGGCACACCTTTATTTAAGTTCTATGCTTTTAACTATATATCCTAAGATTGTGTTTGCTATCTCAGTTGTTTCTCCACTTTGTCTATAAGGTGCTTAGTCTTTCTATAAAAGCTGAGTGCTAGTCTTGTCTATAAACTCCTTCATCTTTCTCGTGAGTAGCCTGTTCTAGTTCAGTGTTTCCGGTTTTGTGTTGATACTTTGTTTTTCCTACCTGAATGCATTTGATCTGCCAGCTGATTTTTTTTTTTATTTCTTTGGCTGCTCCTGCAGCTTTTAATAACGCTCCTAATTTGGGATCTTCTACAAACTTGACTAATTTACCCTTCATGGAATCTAAATCCATCCATCCATTTTCTACCCTCTTCATCCACCTCAGGGTCGCAGGGCAGCCGGTGCCTACCCCAGCGAGCAACAGGCAAGAGATGGGACACGCTTGGGACGAGAGACATCGGTGTCATCTCCCCACACTGGTCACTGGACTGCTACACTTTACAATCTCTTCCCTGTTTTTTAAAAAATCTCTCCTAATTGACTAGGAACGAAAGGAATTCTGCGCATCAATATAAAGCACTCCTGCTGTGATTTCGTCACCCTCTGGACGAGCTCGTGCTGAGGAAGGACACACACACTGGGGTCAATGTTCAGCTGTAGGTATTTATTGGGGAGCCCGGGCCCTCTGCCCATGGGGGTGTGGGGGCGCAATGATCAGTTGCAGAGGTCAGTGTCACAGCAGCGGGCTGTCACAAAGCTGCTGGGGTTGGACTCCAGGCTCTGGCACTCCCTCTCCGAGGCGCAGCGCCGGGCTATCCCGTCTGGGGAGAGGGAGGAAGAGGATGAGAGTCAGGATTCAATCTGCTCCCACACACTACCCTATTAAATATAGATGAACCTAAAGAAACAGATTCAAGGATTAAGCATTATGAGCAAACAGATTATTTTATAACTTATTCAAGGATCCAATGCATATCTGATCTTATTTTCTGATTAGGCGCACCAGATCAGGGTACTTATAGCACAGGACTTTTAACTGTGTGAGTGTGGACAGGAAGGAAGGACCTGACTTCTATCCAATGGTGAGACAATGGTGAAAGAGCTGGAGCATGATGGGAGTTGTAGTCTCCTGCCTGCCTGGTGCACCTAAAGGAATCCAGTACTGATGGGGCCCCAGAGGAACAGCTGCAGGGGGTAAGAGACAAGGGGCTGCACTCACAGGCAGGAGGGGTGAGCATCATGTTGAGACAGCGGGTCAGACCAGGGCGACACTCCACCTCCTCAGGGCTGCTGCAGTTCGGCTGCTCGGAGATGTCGACACACTGATAGCACTTCAGAGACGGGAGCTCTGAGGACTCTGAGGAAATCGGTTAGACACTCTGGTCACACCTGAGACTCCATTGGCACACAGCAGAGATTAGTTAGACATGTTGAGCTTGTCTCCAAGGACATATGTTAGGCATGGTTAAACACTGAAGAGGCATTAGACACTAGGACATAACAAGGATTACAGTTTTATCCGTACAGAAAGGTATACGACTGATAGATCTGTGTGATTTAAACGGACAATTGCATTCATACCTGTATCTACGTCGTCCAGAGCACGAGCATAACGTTTTACAGTAGAAGCTGTAAAAGAAACAAGCAGAGCTGAGTCTCTCCTCTTTTGCTGACATTGCTCAAACTTTTTGAATGTCCCATCAGTAGCTGTTACTGGTCTCTGCCTCAAGGTATTTTCTAAACCAGCACTGAGAGAGAGAGAGAGAGCTGATGGGCTTGTGCATGAAGATGGAAAGAGTCTTTCTCACCTGTGGGTCTAGTTTCCTGGGGTACAGTCTGACGCACTGGAGTAGAAGCTGTAAAGACACAGAGATGAGACTCTTAATACAGTAGTCGCCTTATCCACACACTGGGTCAGCAATGACTCTGTGATGAAGGGACATATCATAATAAAGCCTTTACACAAATTAAGCCTGAAACATTTCGTATTGTGTTTCTGAAACAGCTTGATCTTTCACATAGTTGGTAAGTAGTCGCCTTATCCACACACTGGGTCAGCAACGACTCTGTGATGAAGGGACATATCATTATAAAGCCTTTACACTAATTAAGCCTGAAACAGCATCACATTTCGTATTGTGTTTCTGAAACAGCTTGATCTTTCATATAATTGGTCAGTAGCTGGTACTGGTTTCTATCTGAAGGTGTTTTCTAAACCAGCACTGAGAGAGAGAGCTGATGGGTTTGTGTGTGAAGATGGAAAGTGTCTTTCTCACCTGTGGGTCTAGTTTCCTGGGGTGCAGTCTGACG